GTCTTCACTAAGCACAGACACTGTCTCATTGTTGGCTCTTCCTGGTAGAGCATCGCTGAGAATCTGCAATCTTTCTAGAGTTTAAATATTTATTTATTTATTGCTTTTAATGTATATTTACTCCATGGACAATGCTTTAAACTTATAATCAGCAGAAGAGAAAGGTTCAGGGATCTATTTTTGCAACCAAGGAAGAGGCCAGAATAACAACAGTGCTTCTCCCCATCAGAGTGAACACAGCCTCCTGAGGAACACTCTGTTGGCTGGTGAACCGTTTTCTTACTCCTCTTCCTGCCGTTTCTCTCTTTTAAAAGAGTAAGTATTTTTCTCCTCCTGTAACCGCACAGTGTGTAGCAGGCTTCTTTGCATTTAGCGGGTTTTCAATAACTGTTTTCTAGATTGAACTAAATCAGAGCTCAGCTCCCACAGGTTGTAGCCACACAGAACCCAACCACAACAGTCCATGACCGTTCGAATTACATTTTGAAGGCGGATTCATTTTGAGGATATCACTTATAGTTTTCTCTTGTCTGATCATCAGTGGACTAAGGATAGAAAGGCGGTAGGGGGAGATAAATGTAAACATGACATTCTTCCAAGTTTCAAAAGCAAACATACAAATACCCTTTTTATCACTAATACTTAGTGAAGGCCTAATGGGCATCATGTGCTGTTCCAATTGCTGGAAATACAAAAATAAATAGGGCTACAAGCATAGAACGGTTTTTGATTTTGGATACTGAAGTGACTCCAGCTAAATGTGTTATATTTTATATTTTTAATTGTAATAAATTAAAATTGTGTTGGGGCGCCTGGGCGGCTCAGTTGGTTGTGCTTCCAACTTCAGCTCAGGTCATGATCTCACTGTTTGTGGGTTCAAGCCCCGCATCGGGCTCTGTGCTGACAGCTCAGAGCCTGGAGCCTACTTCAGATTCTGTGTCTCCCTCTCCCTCTCTTCCTCAATCCTGCTTGCACTTTCTCTCTCTCTCTCTCAAAAATAAACATTAAAAAAATTTTTTTTAATAAAATAAAACTGTGTGTGTGTGTGTATGTGGTACTTAGAGGTAAGCTAGTGGTTGCACTAGTGAGGTGGTATTGTTGCAACTCATCTATTTTTCCGTTTCCTCTTCTCTTCAAAAAAGATTCTAAGATTGCTTGCTGAGAGAAAAGAAGCAGACAATAGAAAGGAAGAGACGAGATACTTCCCTTTAGTTCCAATCCTGTCTAATTTGGGGTATTTTACTGTAAATCAAAAGGAAAGTCCTGTGAATTTCAGACCCTGCGAGTCTGTTTTCTAACTAATTTTGTGCTGGGCAGTTGAGTGCTGTAAATTCAAGGCTGACTTGGTGATGTCTTCTGAAATGGTGCCATGACAGACTTAAAAAACTGCATCTCAGTTTTGTGGTTCAGGGCTCTGGATCCCAAGAGATTATGCTGAGACTCTTCAAACAATGAGTGTGATTCTACATGTAAGAAAAGAGTACATTGTCTTTTGGAATTCTTACAGTTATAAAACTCTAGACAGATAATACCAAAAGGCCTAAAGGACCATAAACCATCTGCATAAATATTTAAAAGTTATAAATTAAGCTAGTAAAATATTAAATAAAATACATTCTATCTTCTTACATTGTTAGATATATATTTCATAAAGCAAAATAAAAATTATGTGATTGGATAAATAGTAACTACTTAAATTACAAATTTATGAATTATAAATCACAAAATTACATTCTTTAATATAATAACAAATATAAATATCCTAAAATTTTAATTTCTTGCTTTCATTTCAGCAAATTCACTGAAAACATTGTTATAAAGAACACTCACAAAATTTAAGCTCTGCTAATAGTATTAATGTAAGGCATTAATGAAAAACAATGTAATTATAATCCAAGTACACACAATTTGAATGTTTTTATCAAAATATGAACATTCAAATGAATGTAAAAATTTTTAATTGAATTATTTTAAAAATAAAATATTCAAAATTACTTACTAAAATAAAACTACAAATGATAATTATTGTTAAATTTGTAAATAAAATTTAAATAAAATTGAAAATGCTTATTTGATTTTTTGGTTTTCCATAAATTTTTTTCACATTTTTATCAAAATCTGGGGCACCTCGGTGGCTCAGTCGCTTAGGCGTCCGACTTTAGCTCAGGTCATCATCTCATGGTTTGTGAGTTCCAGCCCAGCATTGGGCTCTGTGCTGACCACTGAGAACCTGGAGCCTCCTTCAGACCCTGTGTCTCCCTCTCTCTCTGCCCCTCCCATGCTCATGTTCTGTCTCTCTCTGTCTCTCAATAGTAAATAAAAATGTTAAATTTTTTTAAAAAAATAAATTATTCATAATTCCTACTGTTTATATTTATATTTTAATAGCCAATCTAAAGAATCAGTATCCTATTTAAAGTTACATATACACAAATCTAGAGTAATGTAAATTATTATTACAAAATATTCCTCAGCCCCCATAGGCAACTTCTTTGTTAGTAAGTTTGAGACCATGAACTGGAACATGGAGAAAACCAAAGAAATGGTCATTCATCCCTACTAAAGGACAAAATCTATGAAGCTCCTATTATCTTACAGGATTTGACATGTTATTTATCTTTTCTGTTTCTGAAATATTCATATCACTCAAATTGTCCTTGAATTTCTAAGTACTGTTTGTCTCCAAGAGTGAGAATTATAACCCATCAAAGTGAGACAAGGGGAAATTATGAGAGTTAAGTTATACCTCTAATGACCGCATCAGTACTTCGGAACTATTCGTTTGAAACATGAACTAGCACTTGAATCTGCAAAGGTTGTGATTTAATCTCCGGCCTAAAGGTAATATTGTGCATCTGAGGGGTGTAGACAATAGGCCTAATAGTTAAGGACTGTACTTCTATAGCACAGCATGCAGCCACTGGTCTCAGTTAAGGCCTTTCTTGTGTCAGAAACTTTGAGCCTCGGTTTCTTCATTTCTGAAAGGGATAACAATTTCTTGTTCATAGCACCACCATGAAAATTAAATGATATAACCACAGTAGAATATCTAGCACATGATAGGTTCTCAAAAAACAACAGCTATCATTATGGACTGGCAAACAATTATGGAAACTGACTACAGCAGCCCGCCATACCCTTATCCATGGTTTTGCCTTCTGCAGTTTCAGTTATACAGGGAAACCATAGCCCGGAAGCAGATACTAGAAGATCAATAGCAGCCTAACGCTACATCACAGTGCCTGCATCATTCGCCTCAGGTCATCTCATCATGTGGGCATTTTATCCTCTCGCATCTTCACAAGAAGGGTGAGTACCGAACAGTAGGGTATTTCAAAGAGAGAGAACTAGCATTCGCAAGTTTTATTACTATAAACTGTTATATGTTCTCTCCTGTTGTTATTGTTAATTTCTTACTGTGCCTAACTTCTAAGTTAAGCTTTATCACAGGTATGTATGTATCAGAAAGAAACTAGCATGGTTTCTGGGGATCCTGGAATGGATCTCTCTTGGATTAGGAAGAGGACAACTGTATACTGAATTCACTCATCGGTCAAACATACCTTGATCCTACTACCTGCCGGGTGGGTGGGCAGAGTGCTCAGGGCTGGCGGTTGCTGTTTACACCAGGAAGGAACACCTAGCGAGGGGAAGACAGACGTGCCTAATGGAGACCTGGAGGTCCTTTGCGAGGGTAACTGACGGGGGAGCTAACCTGGCACGGCGGGGAGAGGACAGGCTTCCGAGAGGCGTTACAGAAGCTAGCAGGATGAGGAGGCGTTCCCCAGGAAAGAAAGGAAAGGGCATTTGGGGCAGAGGACTGCGAAGACATGGGATTACGAAAAGGCTTTACACATTCAAGAAAAGTCAAAAGTTGGGAGAGGCATGGAGTAACCACATCAAGCCCATTAGATGGTTAAAAGAAGCTGGCAAGACCCAGCTTATTCGCTCGGAACTGAACGAGAGGTGCCATGTTAATCCTTCAACAGTGTGGCTCTAATTGGACTCAAAGAAAATGCCAGTTTTCTGAGATGTGCCACTTGTGACGAGTTGTCTTAGGAAAGGATTAATCCAAGTCCCTCAGTAATGTTTGTTTGTTAGTACACACCATTTTTCTCAAAATATACCAAAATTGGGGGCAGAAGGGAACCTGTTATTTTGAACCTATGACGTGTGATTTCTAGCTCCTCGTTCCCCTATAATTTCTGTGATGGGTTGCCCTTTTCACCAGGAGCACCCAGTGACATATTCTAAAAATTGCTGCAACCAAAAAACACAGGCTTCTTAGTTAATAACAAAACCGCTCAATTCCAGAAGCAGAAAGGGAAGACAACGACAAAATGTCTCTGCAGAAAAGATATCCTCAAATCTTGCAAGGTGATGTACAAACCATCCAAAAGATTTGATTTGAAACGTGTGAAGACAACACTATGGCTAAAGCGTCAGAAAGAATCAGACTGAGAAGAAGGAAAAGACGTTGCAGCCTCAAACAAACAAACACATTCCAGTGGGGACAGCCTGACACGGTGGCGCCCATCACTAAAGCTGCCTCCAGGCCCGCGGCAGGTGTCCCAGGGAAAATCACTGTCTTGTTGCTTCTCCTGGGGAAATTCTTCAAGGAGAACTGTTACTTCCAACACGACCCCACTGACGTGAGGTAGAGGAACAACGGGCCTCGACAGTTGTATCGGTTGGAAAAGATCCTCAGACTCCAATAGGGATAAGTCTTTGAATGGCACAGAAATTAAATTTATCCTGGAATGAGCTAGTTGTATTACCCAACAACACCAACAACTTATAAAACTGTGGGTTAATCCACTACATAGTTTTAATAGTGACTCAATTTCATGGGAAGCTTTTTTTCATTCACATTCAGTATTAGTATCTAATTATAATCTCCCATAATCCCCAACGTAGATTCTATGGAAAGCCTAAATTAGAAAATAGCTCTCTACTAGATTTTTTTTTTTTATGAAAGGAAATTATTTGAGTCCACTCACCATTCCGTGATTCAGCCACCCTGGGATAAAATTATCAAGCAACTTTGGATAAATCATCTCTCTGTCATAGGCATAAATGGTCCAGAACACCGCTACAACGAACTGGAAGGGAAAAGAAATCCTTTATTTTAAATCCACAACATACAATTTGTTGTTTATCCTTTGTTCAAAGAACCCAACAGAACTGTAATCTACAGTGAAAGACGAATCAGCAAACCAGCTAATGACTAGAAAGAGAGTTCTAACTTCATTCTATTAGTGGTAACGCGTGGGGTCCTTCTTCCTTCCTTGATCTCCCTATTGTGCTCGCTCAGGCAAAGGGATCTATTTTAGAGGGAGAGATAAATCGTCTGTCTGTCATCTGGAACAGCTCCTTTCTAGGGCTAATTGCGTTGGTTTGAATCCTCTCAAGAGGGTTTAAAAGTTCACTGGTGGTTTTTTGGATCCCATTCCCCACTGTACAGAGTCAGCACACATTCAAGAAACTGTAGTGTATTTTCCTTGAACCCATCATGTGGTTTAAATTAATCTCCACATTCTCAGGTTTCCACTTCACCACTAGCAGCATTAAAATCACTGCTATATAAAATGTCCCAAAGTCACATTTCCTGCAAATGTATGAATTCATATAGCCTAAGCAGGGGCCTTGGCTGCACTCAGAGCAGAGAGTATGGGACACAAGAATTAGGAATTCCTAATTCTCTTGGAATAACTTACATGTTCATCTGGGTTCCTGAGATTTACTTTGACCCATCAGCAACATAGACATCAAAAGAGAGTAGAGTACTCAATTTGTTCTCTCATCTTTCTTCAAATTAATGGTGAGAGAAGTTCAGATTAAATAAAGAAATGAATGGTCCAAGGTCTTAACCTTCAACTTAGAATTTTAAAGAAAACACAAATGCTTTGGTACACAGTCAATAAATGAAGCATGGGAAAGGGAACTATCCGAGAGGGAGAGCTCAAAATCTCTGCAGAGTTACATCTCATAATAAATGCTACAGCGTGATAACACACAGATAAATGTTAAAAGAAACATTTTTATCTCATTTCTTATAAGTCATCTCTACCCCACATTTTATTAATAAAAGTAGTAAATATTTTAATGCCACATTTCGTAAAACTCTCAGTGGTTATACCACAAGCTAGTAATCAGAAAGATTCCAAAGTTCTTTTCCAAGTATGTCAGTTACAACATGGGTAATAGTAGCCTGAAAAAAAGTTCACCCTTAAAACCCAAGATGTAATGAACATTTCTTGCTTCATAAAACACATTGAAAGATAATAGGCAACCATAGATAACACACAGTTTCATTACCAGATTGGGGTCCCTACTTATTTATCCTGCTTTTGGGTCAATTATTTTCACTTAGTTGATAAATGCACAAGATGGAATAGAAAAAACAAAACTCAAACCATTAACGGTAACTATCATTATGATCTTTCCAAGTACAATGAGTAATTTTTAAATTATTCACAACTTTGGTTTATTCATTCCACCGTACACGTCAAATGCACCGAATGCTTTGACCTAAGCCCTGAGATTGCTACTCAAGGAGCATTGCTACTCAAAATGCGGTCCCCGTGGGTCAGCAGCCCCCATGTTACCCAAGAGCTTGTTAGATACATGAGATGCCAGGTCCTGTCCTGATATGTTCTGATTCTGCATTTTAATAAGATCCTGGTGTCGTTCATATCCACATTAAAGTCTGGTTTGGACACTACTCCAGCCACCTTCAGTCTCCTCCTCGCACCATGGAGTGAGGCAGTCACCGAACCACGTGGCTGGTCTAGCCAGAGCCTCCACCCTTCTTTTCTAGACTTGGGAAGACATGATCCTAGGATTTCTTGCCCCCAAAAGACAAAAGTATGCCTCAGGGCCTGTGTGGGCCTCCTTCCTGGGTCTGATCTGGAGGACTGGCTGCACAGTAAATGCGGAGAGCCCCTGACCTGAGAGGTGGTTAAGACGTATCTGTTTCTGAAGGGTGAGAACGAGTTTTACATTTGGTCTGGAGTCCACGTATAAGCATGAAGCCATTCTAATCCTGGAAAGAGCCACACGTGGATATCCCTTCACCTCTGCCATATAATGTCACCTGACGACACATCTCATCACATTCACAGGTGCCCTCCCACACTCAGGGGGAGGGGATTACACACTTGCTCCACAGGCGATGCAATCTTGGGACCATCTTAGAATTCTGCTTACCATATGCTTCCACTCTTCTTTTCCAAATTGTTTTGGCTATTTTCAGTCCTTTGCATTTCCATTTAAATTTTAGAATCCAGCTTGCTAATTTGTACAAAAATATCCTCCTAGAATTCTGATTACGACTGTACTGAATCAATATGTTCAATTTGGGGAGGAATGACATCCTAACAATATTGAGTCTTCTGTCCCGGGAACATAATTTACATCTCCATTTATTTAGATCTTTGATTTCTCAGTTTGTAGTTCTCAGTGAAAAGGATCTTGTACATATTTTTTAATTTGTCACTAAGCGTTTCATGTGGTTTTATGTTATTATAGATAGTGTTAAATTTGTTTTTACATTCTTTGTTGCTAGTACATAAAAGGTACAAATGACTTTTGTATATCGATACCGTATCCTCTCTTCGCTAAATTCACATGGTTTGAGTAGTTCTTTCATAACTTATTCTAGATTTTTATATGTACATGATCTGCAAATAAAGACAGCATTTCTTCTTCTTCCTTTACAATTTGTATGCCTTTTACTTCTTTTTCTCTTCTTACTGCACTACCTACAACCTTCAGCACAATGTTACCTAAAGTGATGTGCAGTGAGCACCCTTGATTTCTTCCCTATCTTAGGAAAGTGTCCAGTCTTTCAACATGTAAGTTTGCTGTTAGCTGCAGGTTTTTCTTAGATGTCTTTTCCCATGTTGAGGAAAATCTCTCCCATCCTTCATTTGTGCATGTAATGAGCAAGTACTGCTTTTTTTCAGATAACTTTGCTGTATCTCCTCAGGTGATCAGATAGTTCTTCTCCTTTATTCTGTTGATATGATGAATTATATAGATTCTTTTAATGTTTACTTATTTTTGAGAGAGAGAGAGAGAGATTGAGAAAACAGGTGAGGAGCTGAGAGAGAGGGAGACACAGAGTCCAAAGCAGCCTCCAGGCTCTGAGCTGTCAGCACAGAGCCTGACACGGGACTCAAAAGCACAAACTCTGAGATCATGACCTGAGCTGAAGTCGGATGCTTAACTGACTAAGCCACCCAGGTGCCCCAAATTATATAGATTTTTAATGCTGGTCATTATGTATTATCATTTTTATATATTGCTGGATTTGACTTGCTGACATTTTGTGAGGAATCTTCTCGTCTTTATTAAGTATATCAACCTGTAGTTAGCTTTATTTTCTCTCAATGTCTCTTTGTTTTTAAGTTTACTTATTTATTTTTGAGAGAGAGAGCATGAGCAGGGGAGGGGCAGAGAAGGAGGGAGGGAATCCCAGGCAGGCACCGCACTGTCAGTGTGGAGCCGGATGTGGGGCTCAATCTCACGACTGTGAGATCAAGACCTGAGCTGAAATCAAGAGTCGGACACTTAACCAACTGAGCCCCCTGGGTGGTCCTCATAATGTCTTTTTCTAATTTTGGTGCCAGGACAAGGGTGGCTTCAAAAAACAAAGTGGCAAAAGCTCCCTCCTCTATTTTCTGAGAGACCGTGTGCAAGATTAATATTCTGTCTCCCTTATCTATTTGAAATGCTTCTCTCGGGAAGCTTTCTGGACTTTATGAAGTTTTCTTGTGAGAAGATTTAACTGTGAATTCAATTTCTTTAATAGAGAGTTTTCAGGCTCTCTGGTTTCTCTTGAGTTAGTCTTAGTCATTTTTGCCTTTTGTGGAATTTTCCCATCTCACCTAAGATTTTGAATTTATAAAGCTGTTCTTCATATTCCGCCATGGAAATCAGTGAAATGCTACAAATCAGATGTTTTTCCCCTGGAGAGCCAGTTGTTAATTACTTACTAGCACACCACTGCTGAGAGCTCCTTTCTATTCCCCATAAATGATCATTCGTGGGGTCCCTACCACGTGGAAAGCATCATGTGGTCAATACTTACCAATGCAATTGGATCAATCCTTTAACCTCCGCCATATATTAAGGGAATTGCATGGATTATTAAAAGTGAAGTGACTTTCAAGAAAGTATTAGTCACCTTTCTTAACGTAACACTAGAAGGTCAAGAGGCCCAGCTAACTGAGCAGTCAGCCTTCTAAATAATTCTTCAGATGTAAGCATGGCACAGATGGTAGCTTCTTGGCCCCGTGCACTGTTATCCTCTTGACAGTATGGTCATCAGCAAACCCAAAATAAGTTTGAACTCTACTACCGGGGCATGAATACGAAACAAAAATAGGTTCTCTTGGACAGGCTAAGTGCTACTGAAACGTTCCACTGTTGTGGCCAACTCCTCAGTGTGCACCTGCTGCTTCCCCGCTGCCAGGACCAGAATACTGTACTTGAACTGAGAGTGGAAGGAGCTCGGTCACTTTCCAGTCCTTCAAGTTTCCCAGACAAATACTTGTGTTACAGATAGTCGTTGAGGACTCATTTGAACCCCTGGAACAATCAAAAATGAATGTGAAAGAAAACTGGATTCACACTTTACCTCCTTCTGTAAGGAGTCTCTTACACAATATCAGTAGAAGCTGAAGCTAATCAGCTTTAGTCCACTTCTAAGAAGAAGCCTTACTGATCAGTGGGAAATTCTTGGGAGTTCAGTAAAACAGATTAGAGCACAAAGGCTGTTGCAGAGAAATTGACCATGAGGCAGGCCAAAGAGGAAAGTCACTTATCTACAGATTGGTCTGTAGAGGCCTCTAGCATGATCTCAAACATCCACTATTGAAGGAAGGAAGGAATAAATACATGAATACATCTTTCAAGTCTCCAGCTTCCACACGACAGGATCCTATGAAAGTGTTTTTCCTTTAAAATCTGATCTATTAGTACTCAGACTTTACTAAATATCAATTGGGAAAAAATTTTAATTCTGTTTTGGGCTCTATTACTTTGCCTCCAGATTTCCTGGTCATGATTTGCTCTCCCATCACGTTTTTCCAGAATA